GATAGTGGAACCTCATTTCGATGTGCTTGCTTCGACCATGTGCTATAGGGTTCTTTGCCAGATTGATAGCTGACATGCTGTCGATCTTCATGGTAATTGCTCCATGGTTTTTCCCTGTTATCTCTTCGACCAAGTTCACCATCCAAGTTGCTTGACATGCACAAAGAGAAGCAGCTATGTATTCTGCTTCGCATGATGATAATGCCACTACAGGTTCCTTTATTGACCTCTAAGCAACTGGTGCACTACCTAACATAAACACATATCCTACTGTTGATTTTCGATCTTCAGCATCACTACACCATCTCGAATCAGTGTATCCCACTAACTTGCATTCTTTTCCTTTATCAGTTTTAGTAAACAAAATGCCATAGTCGAGAGTTCCTTTAAGATACCTTAGTATCCTCTTCACCGCTGCTTGATGTGATACCTTTGGCTTCTGCATGAATCTACTTACCATACCTACACTATATGCTAAGTCGGGCCTTGTATGACAAAAATATCTCAATGACCCAATAAGTCTTCTGTATTGGGTTGGGTCAGCATCATCTTCATCTGCATCTTTCGACAATTGTAGTCTTGGTTCTGTAGGTGTCAAAGTTGGATTGCATTCTTCCATCTCAAATCTCTTGAGAATTTCTCCTGCATATCTTTTTTGATGCATCATCAAATCTCTACTGCTCTTGTAGAATTCGATGCCAAAGAAATATGAAATCTCACCCAGATCAGACATTTTAAATTCCTTGCTGAGATCACCTTTGAAGTCTTCAATCTCACTTTTGCAACTACTTGTTATCAACAAATCATCGACATAGAGACATAGTATAATCAATTCACTATTTCTTCTTCTTACATATACTCCATGTTTGGTTGTGCACTTCACAAATTCCTTCTCCCTTAGGAAACTATCAATTTTCTTATTTCAAGCTCTTGAAGCTTGTTTCAATCCATACAGTACTTTATGCATCCTGTACACCTTTCTCTCTTCGTCATGTTTCACAAACCCAACTGGTTGCTTAACATAAACTTCTTTTTCTAAGGATCCATTCAGAAATGCACACTTCACGTCCATCTGACATATGTGCCATTTGTTTATTTCTGCTAGACCAATAACCAACCTGATTGTTTCGATCCTAGCAACAGGTGCAAAAACTTAATCGAAGTCTATTCCTTCTTTCTGTAGAAATCCTTTCGCCACAAGCCTTGCTTCGTGTCGAGTTACTTCACCTTTCAAATTCATTTTCAGTTTGTATATCCACTTGACATCAATTGCCTTCTTGCCTTGAGGCAATTTGACAAGTCACCAAGTGTTGTTGTCTTCAATAGACTTCACTTCTTCATTCATTTCTTTCACCCACTTCGAACCCTTCAATTCTTCAGCTGCATTGACAGGTTCGACATTTGCATAGAAAGCATAATGCACCAACTCACCTTCATTATCTATCATATCATCTGATGTAATCACACAATCTTGCAATCTTGCAGGCATGCGTCTTATTCTTTGAGGTCTGCTTGTACATGGTTGATCTATAATTGCTGGTTCCTCTTGTCAAACTTCTCTTTCGACTTTAGTTTCTGGTTCTTCAAGTAGGATTCCCACTGAATCTTTTTTGACATTTTTAGTCAAATCCCATTCTTTAAGCTCATCTATGATCACGTCCCTGCTTATCACAATATGCTTGCTCACTGGGTCGAACAACTTATAACCTCTTGTCGAATGATATCCAACTAGAATTATTTGAATCGACTTGTCATCAAGTTTTCTTCTCAACTGATCTGGAACATGTCTATATGCAATAGATCCAAATATCTTCAGACGAATCAAGCTAGGCTTCACACCAGACCAACATTCTTCTGGAGTAATTCCTTCTAGCTTCTTCATAGGACATATGTTCAAAATGTATGTTGTAGTCGACACAACTTCACCCCAAAACTCTTTAGGAAAATTCTTGCCTTTCAACATACTTCTCACCATATTCATGATGGTTCAATTCTTTCTTTCCGCAGTTCCATTATGCTATGGAGTATAGGGTGACACCACCTCATGCACAATACCTTATTTTTTCATATAACCTGTCGAAGTCTTTCGACACATACTCTCCACCACCATCAGTTCTCAAAACTTTGAGTTTTTGACCACTCTGTCTTTCGACCATAGACTTAAACTTTGAAAATACCTTGATCACTTCACTTTTCTTCTTGATCAGGTAAGTCCACAACTTTTAACTGAAATCATCTATGAATGTAACAAAGTATTTGTTACCTCCCATCGAATCCACCTAGATTGGTCCACATACATCAAAGTATATGACTTCAAGAATAACATTCGACCTGCTTCCTGCATCCTTGCTGAAGCTATTGTTGTGTTGTTTCGTCTGCACACATTCCTCACATACCTCATTTGGAATGTCGATTTCTAGCAATCCTGAAACCATATTTCTTCTCTTCAAATCTTTGATGTCTCTGAAGTTGAGATGGCCTAGTCGATAATGACATATCCATTAATCTCTTATCGTTGCAGTCGATAATGACATATCCATTAATCTCTTATCGTTGCAGTCGAAAGGAACTTGTGCTCCATCACATTTAGTTCGATCTTGAAGGTTCTATTTTGAGACATAGGAGCCTTCAAGATTAATCTTCCATTTGCGTCGACAACTCTCATTATCTTATCTTCGGTCGACACTTTATCATTCTTTTAGACCAACTACCCTATACTGAGCAAATTTCTCTTCATGCCTGGTAGGTACAACACATTGGAAATTACTGACCTCTTGCCATCTTTCCTCATAATTATAACACCACCAATACCTTCAGCTGCTAGGGTATTGTCATTTGCGAATTTTACCATATTTTTCACTGAGCGCTTTATGTTGACAAACCATTCTTTCCTTCCAGACATATGTGATGAGCATCCTGAATTCAAGTACCATTGGTCCTTGAACCTATCTTCATCTCTTGTTGTGACCATCAACATCATCTCTTCTTTTTCATGTTTTACAAACTTTGCATCACTTTCTTGATTCTTTCTTTTTTCTAGACAATCACTCAAATAGTGATCATACTTTTGACAATTGTAACATTGCATGTGACTCTTGTCAGGTTTCCGACCACCACCTCTTCCTCTATTTGCAACACCACCTCTTTGGCTGCCTTGGTATTGTCTACTTTGATTCGACACGTTTCTTTTGTTCTGGTTTCCTCTACCATTCGATTTGTTGTAGCTGCCTCTACCTATGTCGAACCATTTTCTTTTTCCTTTGGTTTCTTTTGCTGAATGTGCCTGCAAAGCCACATCACTCTTCGATTTTCCTGCAGCTCTTTCAGTCATTCTTTGTTCATGAGATTCAAGTGTCCTTTGAAGCTATTCCTTTGTCAATTTTGACAAGTCTTTCCCCTATTCTATAGCCACCACTACGTGGTCAAACTTAGGAGCCAAAGATCTCAAGATCTTCGAAACAACAACTCTTATTGTTAATGTTTCTCCATATACCTTGATTTTATTCACTAGTTTTGTGACCCTAGTAAAGAAATCAGATATGCTCTCATTATCTTCCATCTGAAGCAATTCATACGTTCTCTTGTGAGTTTGTAACCTCACTTCTTTCACCTTTTCTGCACCATCAAAAGACTTCTCAAGTACATCTCAAGCTTCTTTTGTAGATTCTGAATCACTCACTTTTCAAAATTTTCTGGACTCACACATTGATGAATTATAAAGAGAGCTTTATAACTCAACTTCTCAATTTATGTGTGTTTCTTCTTTTCTTCTTCTGAAGCGTTTTCTCCAAGCGCTTCGAATCCATCTATTACAAGATCCCAAAGGCTTTGACACCTGAATAAAACTTTCATCTGTTTACACCAATTCTCATAGTTGTCTACTTTCATAATTGGTAGAGTTGCTGGATAATTTGCATTTCCATAATTCGCCATCGTGAATTCTTTTTCTTCATCAATCATTCTTGATCGATACTTCCCTTGAGTCGAAACCGAGCTCTTGATACCAGATGCTAGAAATCCACCACTATCTATGATGAATTTTTATCAATCTTGATGAACAAGATTGACATCACCACACAATGACAATGAATTATGAGAAAAGAAAAGAAAGAAGACAATTATTTTCTGCAGAGTTTCTCTCTACCCACAAACTGTGGAAAACTTTATTAATCACTTGCAACTGCAAATTCTGTGATTACAATGAATTGACTTAATTACAAAATTAGGGGTTACTCCCTCTATTTATAAATTTAGCTTGCTCCCTAAGCCCAAAACTATAAAAGCCAAAAACATCTATTTTGGTACTAAATCAAATCTATTTTATTTTAGACTTAAATCAAATCTATCTAAATCTAAAACAAATCTAATCTGTGTGCAACTTGCTTCGATCCACAAACTCTTCGACTAAGCAATGACTTTCTTCGAGCAACCTGCTTCGATCCACCTCTAAACCCTTCGACACACATAATTTCGATACTATAAATTACAATTTAACGTTATCTCATTTTTCTAATACAGTTTAGTTTTCGTAAGTGCAATTTAGAAAAAACTTGATATCAAAATTAACACCCAAACCAAATTATATCAGTAGTAAAAACAAAAAATTCATAATAATAGACACAATATTCTGTGTATACAGTATATGAATTAAATCTTAAAAATAAAAACAATCATATTAATTTATTTTTTACATATTTTATCTAGTCCTTAATATAAGAAAAAAATTATTTTTTATATTTTTTAAAGAATTAATGTATTTAAACTATTTATTAAATTAATTAAATGCATCTTTTTCTGGATACAAAAGGAAATTTAAGATTTCATTAATAATATATTGGTTTTTCAAAGAAAAAAGTCAAAGTTTTAAGTGAAAAAACATAAAAAGGTGAAATTTCCATGAAGGTAAAGGGAGTGTTATGTCATTTGACTTATGTATGAAGTAGTATAAATACGCAATATACCAACCTATAATTCATCATACAAATAAGATAAATATAATAATGATGAATAGATTATTTTATGTTTTGTGTTTGGTGATTAGTAGTTTTAGTCACATAGGTGATGGTCTTGCCATTGTTAAAGACGATTTTGAATTGGAGAGACCCAACAAGTCTCCTATCAAGAGTATTTATGTACTTACACACATATTGATTATTAGTAGTTTAATTTCATATGCATATTTAATAATTGTTTTTCTATAATATTGATGATTTTTGTAGACAAAATCGGGACACATAGTTGATTGTATTGAAATTAACAAACAACCGGCTTTTGATCATCCTTTATTGTGGAATCATACATTGCAGGTAAAACAATAAATTATAATTTATTTATTTTTATTCTATTATTTATGTTAATTTTTCTTTATGACAGCGAAAACCAAGTGTGAAGAATTCAGCAACAAAATCCGATTTTATATTGGAAAAAGTTGATTGTCCAAAAGAGAGCGTTCCTATTCAAAGAATGATTAAAAATAATTTAATCCAAGATAAATCATCATTCAACACTGATATCTTAGATCAAAATAATGTCCGTTATTTTGTAAGTTTTCTGGCATACAACTAAATTTCTAATAATTTAGTTTATTTATATAAATAACATTAAGTAATTTAATATTAAATGTATTGAATTTTTAGGGAGCTTATGCATATCATAACGATGGTACCCACTATGGAGCTAGCGGAACTACTAATATTTATAATCCAACAGTTTCTAATGGCCAATCAAGCGAAAGTTCTGTGCACGTTAAAAATGGAAATGGAGATGGTGCTAATGTGATCGTGCTCGGATGGCATGTAAGTTATTAAATCCTTCATTTATCCTTAAAAAATTCATGCATATGTCGCTAGTAATTTTAGTACATTTGACTACGTATACATTTTTTTATCTAATTATCTCATATATAATGTCAGGTGCATCCACAATTATACGACGATTATGGGAGTCATTTATTCTCACTTTGGACGGTAAATAAAAGTTTATGATTTTAATCTTTACCAATTTACCATATAAAAAATACATCATTCATTCTTTACTAAAACAAATAATTCTGTAATGGTTTATAATTTTACATTTGATATTACTAAAACAAATAATTCTGTAATGGTTTATAATTTTATTTCTTTAAAATTTAGTTGAAAAGCACATGTTGATATCTTTAAAAACATGACCCTGTGTTAAAATATTACAGTCAGATAATTTCAAGTCTGGATGCTACAATGCATATTGTCCTGGTTTTGTTCAAACAGACCGTTCATATTATCTTGGATCACGCATAGGGAAAACATCAACCTATGGAAGCACAAAAGTCGTTCAAATGTCAATTTCAATTCACCAGGTAATTTCTCCCAGTCTACCTCAAATAAAGAATGGGAATAATATGTTCACAAAATGTTATGGGGTGTGTTATTTCAGGATGAAAAAACACAAAATTGGTGGTTGAGTGTGGAAAATAAGGCAATTGGATACTTTCCAGCACATTTATTTTCTAACTTGAACAAAGCTGGTGAAGTAGGATGGGGTGGTTTAGCAAAAAGTGTTGCAGGTGCAAGTCCTCCACTGGGATCAGGACATTTACCAGATGGAAATCTTATTCATTCAGGCTATTTTAGTCATATTCAATTTCTAAATGATATAAGACAAGATGTTGACCCTGTCTATGGTGCGGTGAAAACTTTTAGTAACGCCCCTGATAAATGTTATGGGGTTAAATATTATGGCCATCGAAAACAACTCGGGTGTCTACTTCTATTCGGAGGACCAGGAGGTGCATGTGGAAATTAATTGTAATAAAATAAATTTTGCTATATTATCGTAATAAATAAAAGAATGATTGTAGCCAAAATAAAATAAAATAATGATTTAAATATTCCTATTTTAAATGTGTTGTATTGGTAATCACATTGTACTACCATTCTCTAGGGCAACAACTATGAACCGTTCTAGGAAAAGGGCGGTGATGCAGTCTCGCTTAAAGGAAGGTATCGTCTTGCCCCTACATTTTCCTCGCCCTGGTAAGAGGAAAGGTGTGATATGATGTGTCTTGGATAATGGAAAAGTCAAGATAGTTATTGACCCTCGTATCCCTTGAAAATAAGAATTCAACCGTCCACCTTTTGATTGGGTGGGTGGTGACCTTTTCAAAGAAAGCCCTAGGAAATATGAATCCCTATAAATACCCCACTCCTTAAGGGAATAGAGGACTCCCATTCAAGAAAAAAACACTGACTGTTATCCAACACTACTCAAATAGCATTCTGCTCTAGGTAGCCATAACCATATCACACTAACCGCCTGTCTGCAACCCAACAGTGTCAGACATCATCAAGACCTCTAAACTCATATGAGTTGGTCCCCTAAATACCCTAAAAAACCACCATACAGGGCTACACACCACCGTGAGCTAGCCCTCTCTCCATTCGTATAATATACCTGAAGGTGTGAAAAACACAAGAAATGGGGGTTTGAATTGGGTTTTAAAACAATTTTTAAAAAAAAATCCCCTTTAAACTATAACAAGTTACTTTACTTAGTGATAATAGTGATAAAATGCAAGAAGGAAAGAACAAGTTATGTTTATACTAGTTCACTTGAAAACTATCAAGTTAGTCTAGTCCACCCGCCAAGGTGATTTTGCCTTTCTCAACAAGGACTTAATCCAATAATCAAACAAATTATTACAATGCACAAGCTACCCGCAAGTGAATAACAAAAACTTCTAAGACGCACAAGTCCTAGACTTCTTAAGGATACTGACCTAACTGGTCCCTTAAGGAAATCAAACAACTATTTGAATCAAGTTTTGTTTACAAAAGATGTGCTTCTTAACAAGCTAATATGTAAATAGTGTTTCACAAGTATACAGACTAAAGAGAAATGAAAAGCGTATGAGAAATCTTTCGAGAGTATGAATCAGTGAATTAGCCTGAATTAGAAGATTTTTCTCTTAGTCTTCAAGCCCTTTATATAACCAATAAAATAATATATCTGTTGAGGGGTACTCTTGAGATTTTCAAAATCTTTGGCGGCTTGAATCACATGGGGGACAAGATCGTACGCAACATCTGTCCTTCATGGTAATGTAATGCAACTTTTGATTATACCATATACTATTGTACTATGTTAACATTATCTTCTTTTCTTTTGTACTTCAGAGGCTTCTGCGAGCATGAGCTTAGAAGAGAGAACATAACACTAAGGTCATCAGAAATTCAAGTCTTCAAAATTGCGTCTTCAGCACTTGATCTTGAGAACCTCTTATCTAACCTTGGATCATCAGAACCTAAAGTCTTATGAGTCTTAAGAACTTCTTCTTCAGAATCTTCATCACTTGGTCTTGAGAACCTTTTCTAGAACCTTGGGTCTTCAGAGTCTTAAGAACCTCATCTTCAGAATCTTCAGCACTTGGTCTTGAGAACCTTTTCTAGAACCTTGGGTCTTCAGAACTTTAAGTCTTCAAAGTCTTCAAAACTACGTTTTCAGAGTCTTCAACCCTTGGTCTTTGAGAACCCTTTGTCTTCAGAAACAAGAGTCTTCAATAGAAACTTCTGTATTAAGATCTTCTAACTGGGTTCTTTAGAACATATTTTCTTTAGAAAAATGAGTCTTTAGCATCTGGACTTCAGTAGAACTTCTGTCTTTACATCTTCTGACTGATTTCTTTAGACTTCATATCAAAGCCTACACTTCAGACTCTTCTGGAATGTCTTGCTACAGTTAATTAGAACTTGTGTAACGCAGAAGTTGAACTTGTCTCTTCTAATGTCTTGGCCACGCCATTCATCAGAAGCATAACCTGTTTGTTAGATAGTCACAAGTAACACACAATACAATACCAAAATTGTTCATACAAAAATACTCTTTGTTATCATTAAAACTCAGAGATAAAGTTGCATAACCAAATATTGTTCTAATAATACCTACTAAAGCCTCTGAGTCTTTATGCCTTTGCAAGGGTAACACATACACTTGTTATTTTATTGGACAGTACAGTGGTGCCCTGATAAAACTAACCAATGCCATACCTTTCACTCTAAACCTATCATCCCTTTTCTTATTTATTCTAGGAGATGATTAACATGATCATACATCATGCAACATTCACCATCTCCAAAGGTATCTCTGGGAGGGACCTTTCCAAGGCCACTCGATGGAGATACGTGAGGCACGTGCTCGATGCAAATGTCATATACTTCATTTTTCCTAAGAGCACCACAGGAAAAACCAGGGTCAACATTATTTTCTCTAAAGAAGAGGCCATGGGTATCAACCCTCATGAAAATGATTCCTTGATCAACACCTTCCATCACAAAAACTAGGATATTAGGCACATCCTGATAAACCCAGGTAGCTCATCCAATGTCCTGTTCTAGGACGCCTTCCAGAAGTTACAACAGAAAATAAACTAAGATCTACAACTCTTTGAAATAAACCCCCAACAACAAAAGGAAAAGGAACAAAGTTAAGGGAACTCCATCATTGAACCTTTTTGGGATATTTATTTTTTATGTAGGGAAACCATTGACCAAGACATCGAACTTCCTAGAAAAACGCACATGGCTTCCTCTAAACACAATGTCGTAAGCTTTCTCAAAATCCAATTTGATACACGATAGTTTTATTACCAATCAAAAAATGCGATAATCCTTAAGTTTTCAACTAATTTATGAATTTTTAATTCAATGATTAACTCATTTAATAATTTAAAATTCATATTTCCACTTGGATTATCTACTACAACATGTTCATAGTGATTTTTATAAGTTAATGACACTTTATACCCCAGATAGGGAAGGTAAGGGAATATATTCATTTCTTTCCCTACTTTAGGTTATTCAAGAAAATGAAAAAAATGAAGAATGGTTGAAAGTATTCTCCACAAATTTTCATGAATTGAGTTTATGATGTCTCGATATTTGTTAGATAATGTGTAAGGAGTCTTTTTGTTATAATTGGGCTAAAGGTATTTTAGTCTATTTATGTTTTAAGATATACATTTTTGTAATTTTAATTTTTACAAGTTATGTTATTCAGTTATTGAAATACTAGTCTCTTTCTTTTTCTCTTATTATATCTTCCCTATTGTTAACATGGTATCAAAGATCTTGGTTGACTCAATGTCACATTTGCAACAATGAAAATTCTCCTATGATTTTGTTTTTATGGTTTGTAATAAGTGGTATTTACAGAATTATTTATCGTTAATTGTAGTTATCTTTTCTTTTATTGTCGATTGTTTTATTTCATTTTACCGCATTTTATGCTTTGGTTGCATGTTTTAGTGTTTTCAGAGTCAGAGAAATAACACATGACAATTCAGGGTGAAAAAGTGAAAAACTCAAAGTTTCAGAGAAAGTCAAAAATCGACCTACAGGAGGCCTGACACGGTCACCTGTGTCGCCTAACACGGTCCATGTCAGGATGAGAGAGTTGAAGAAAGATGGAAGGCAATGGTGCAACACGGGCGGCCGTGTTTCCTGACACGGGCTATGTTGCAACCCCTGGGACCTTAAAATAAGATTTGGGAGTTTGGGGGCCAACACGGGTGCCCGTTTTGCCTGACACGGGCCATGTTGGCCTGTGATGCCGATTTCTTGATTTTTTAAAATAATTTTTCCATGTGTTAAGCTGTGAGGGAAGTTTTGGTACTTCCGATCGATCTGGATGAATAGTGACTATTTAAATGAGTTTTCACAAGGAATAAGGGGACTTTTTGGTCAGTAGAGAATTTCTACGATTAAAGAAGGAAGTATATGTAATTGTTGGAGAACATAGACTTTTCATGAGCAAAAGTAATTGAAGATCAAAGTTCACCAGTAATTTGTTATGTCTATTTGTTATTTTGAAATTACTTCGAACAATATGAGTAGCTAAACCCCCCAATGCTAGAGGGTGTCCTTGATTTGAATCTGTAATGAAATTGGATTTCTGATTTTATCAATTACATGGTTTTTATTATTCAATTTAATTGTGAAATGTTTTTATGCTTTCCTGATCGGACCAATTAGGATTGATTTACGGTTAACAACCAACTGGACCGCGATTGTTAAGGTTTTTGTACGATTAGACTATAGTAGATATCACCTAGGAATAACAATACCCTATAGCCACCGGTTAAATCTTGATAAAACAAAGGATTGATTTCATCATAACTCTCTAAGTACTTAGGGTTTAGGATGAATGTTCAAAGGTTTTTCCACTAAGGACTTAGGGGAAAATAACCTAAAGGATGGTAATTGGTATTACGTACTTGTTGAAGAAATCAGGATTCAAGGTTGTTACAGGAAAACTTACACACCACACCCTAGCATGTTCCTCATACTAGTAAAAAGCCCATTTATATTTTTGTTTATTTTACAGTAACAATCACCAAATAAAACCCCAAATTTAGTTTTTGTTTAATTGAACCACCAATTGAACTCGGTACTTCTGTGCAGTCCTTGAGATCGAAATTCAGGGAAGTTTCCATATTATTACAAGAGGAAAATAGTACACTAGCTATTTTACCGATCAAGTTTTTGGCGCCGTTGTCGGGGACTGCCAAATTATATATTTTAATTTAAGTTCAATTAAAACTTTGTTGTTCTGCGACTAAAATTTTATTTTCTGTTATTTTTATATTTTTTTGTTATTACTGATTTGTTTATAACCTTTGTATGTGAGGAAAGCCCTCAACTAGATTTCCTTTTGATGCAGAAATCGAAAGAACTTTTCACGCAAGGCGCGGACAAGCTCGATTGGCTAGACCGAAACCAGAAGAAGAAGTTACCTCAGATTACTCAGGT